AGCGCGCATGCGCTTAACGAAGCGGAAGGAGCGGCCGCTCCACGCGTCCGGTAACCGGGGGTCGGTACGGGAACAAGGCGGAGGGGGGGGGGAAGGAACCGGGACCGGAGCCCTAGCGGGGCGTTTACCAGAATAAGCAGCTGCCCTAATTACCCTGCATATACCTACGTTAGGCGGGAGATGCGGTCATTTGTCGCGCTCTTTTCAGAAATTTAAATGTTTAGAAGAGTTTTATTTTTTTTTTTTTTTTAATGAAAATTAGGGTGTTACAATTAGGCGGTTTGTTTGCGCAGTTTAACGATACGTAAAACTGTTGGGTTTTTTTGCAGAAGTAATTCGCCTGATTCATTGGCAGAACATCTGATGCTCCACCCGCAAAGCACTCTTCCTCATAGCGATAACTACATAAAAATATCTTCTATTAAAAACAAAAAAAAAAATCCAAAATAAAAAACAACAACAAACAACCGAAAAAAAACAGAAGAAAACCATCTCTGTGTCAGTATTGCTTAGATGAGCATTTCTGGCTGTAATAAATTAAGCTGACTTTTTTTTTTAATTAACTTTTATTGCTGAAAATGGATTTTCGATTTAATTTTCTTATTGATGAAAATGAGAACAACGAGCCAGACGCTCACGGCAAGACGGACTTACAGCCACGCTCTCCACAAGACAAGCAGGAATCCATGAAAAAGAGCAAGCAAACCGCTGATCCCGTAGCAGACTCCAGCCCACAGCTGGGTACTGATAAGCAGCGAGATGAGACGCCGTCAGAGAAAAAGTTCTGCTTCAAAGCTGCCAAGGAGCACGATATTCCTGAAGATCTCGACAAAACATTGGAAAATAAAGTCATGGAAACAGCATCGGGCCTGTATTACGTCAATACATCTGTAGTGGAAATGACGTGCTTGGGTGGCGCCGACAGGGAAGGCATCGTGTCTCAAAGTGTTTCCTCTCGCTCCGACCTCATCCCAGGAGTCTACGAGGGAGGACTGAAAATCTGGGAATGCACCTTTGATCTCATAGACTACTTCTCCGAGGCTGAAATACAGTTTACCAACAAGACCGTACTGGATCTTGGCTGTGGGGCTGGGCTGCTGGGAATAGTTGCTTTAAGGGGTAAAGCTGAAAAAGTCCATTTTCAGGACTACAACAGCACAGTGATTGATGAAATAACCGTGCCCAACGCGGTGGCTAACTGCATAAATAAAGGCAACAGGACGGGCAGCGGAGGCGACGGAAAAAATAGCAAGCCTCCTTTGAAGAGGCCCAAGAAAGCGGAGCGCTTACCTGACGTGCTCACCAAATGCAGGTTTTTTTCTGGAGAGTGGTCTGAAGTCAGCCAGCTCCTGTTCACCAGCAACAAGCCCTTTTCAAAGTACGACATAATTCTCACATCTGAGACCATCTATAATCCTGACTACTACAGTGCGTTGCATGATACGTTGGCTCAGCTCTTGGATAAAAGCGGCCGTGTGTACCTGGCAAGCAAAGCGCATTATTTTGGGGTTGGCGGTGGCATCCCCCTCTTTGAGAAATTTGTTGTAGAGAGAAATGTGTTTAGGACCAGCATAGTTAAAACAATTGATAAAGGACTGCAGCGATGTATTATGGAAATGGCCTTTAAAGATTCCAGTTAAAATTCAACCGCTGGTCCTTCGAAAGTATCTTAAAGGCAAAATGTTTTAATCCTCGTATCTCTTTGCTTTTTCCGCTGTTGAGTTATTTGGGTTTGACACATTAAGGATGCTTATTATTGAAATATTGACAAATTGACAAGGATGTTATTGAGAAAAGCTATTGAGAAATTAAGGGTGCTTGTTATTGAAATGTTTGACAAATTCTGATGTCCGACTGGAAGCGGAGGACTCTTCTGATTCTGGTTTTAAATAGAAAAATGGAGTTCTGCTTAAACCGCCATCTGTTTATGCCAATTAATTTTGTCATTTATGTGTATTTAAAAATGAAGCAAGTCACTTTCCCCGGTTCCCCTCTCACATTCTTTGGCAGTGCCAGAACTGGAGTGGCTGCTGAGCACAGCCTGAACGACATCATTTGGCATCCTAGAATCATAGAATCGTTAAGGCTGGAAAAGACCCTTAAGACCATTGAGTCCAACTGTTAACCTATCGCTGCCAAGTCCACCACTAAACACCACTATCCTAATACAGTGGAAGAAGTGGTTCTCAAGGGTTCGGCTCCCAGCTCGGTTCAACTGCAGCAACAGATTTCAGAAGCGACTGCGTGCCTGTGTGCTGCGCTGCTTTGCCACCAGAGGGGGATGTGATTGTATTTATCACTCGTGTTCCACCCTGCTAGCAATCTCGCAGGTCTTTGTAATGTTTCCATATGTAATGCACACATGACTTTTATTCAAGCCTTTGAAAAGGTGTACCAGAGAATATTTACTAGTGCGGTCTGTAAATTTTCACATTCGGATTTTGACATATTGATCTAAGAAAATTTCAACAAGTAATCGGGAACAGCCATACTGTTTTTAGAAATGAATAAAACTGATTTCTGTTTTAGAAGATGAGTTGAAAGAAGATTCTACACAAGAGAAGTTCCTTAAAACAACCAACCAATAAACCTAAAATGCAATCCCAGAAACTGGAGGATGACAGAACTGAGCTTTAGGTGACAAGCGGGAAAGGAGATAAACTGCGCTATTATAGCAGATTGCCAACTAGAGTGCTGTACTGAGGAGTTGGCTTTTTTTTTTATAAAAGATTTTTCTAGAAATTAAACTGCCCATACACTATGACCGATTTTCAAAACTTGCTGGGGGTACTACTGAACACTCACACCTCTTTAATCTTTTCAGCAGTTTGGCAGGACAGCACGCATTCAGAAAAGCCTGGGTGCAAGTCACTCCTGTGTCCTAGGCTGTAGATAGTGCTGTTGCTGAAGAAATCACCTTACCAAAAATGCAAACAAACCCAAAGAACTACACAACCTGGTCCTGAGTGCTTGGTGTCACCAACAATTCACACAAAAAAATCCATTGTATGTTTTGTCTTAACCAAAACTGGACAAAAAGCTATTATTACAGAACTCTTAACAGGTGCATCAGAGCTACTGCTTATGCACCACTGTATTGGGTGCCCTTGCAGAAACAGAAACTTAGAGACAGTCAACCACTGCAGTAAACTGGATGCAAGGATACTCCATGTAGGGGAAAAAGGACAGTAATCTGAGGGGATGGAAAGAAACATTACAGCAGCAACCTAAATCACTTTAATTATTGCATAAAGTTCCCGTCATTGAAGGCTATGAAAGTCAACTGCCAAGATTCCCATTTTGACCATGTTGCTATTAAGATAGTCATAGAGGATTTCCTGTACTTTACAGAAGAGCCTTAACAACTATTGTTTCAGAAACAATTGTAAGTAGACTAATTCAAAGGGATGCTTTGGAAACTACTGAAGTTGCTCTTTTATAGGAGAGAGGGGGAAAAAAAGCAGTCAGTTGTGCCATAGCTGTGATTGCGCTTTGGAATTTTTCTGCATCAGCTCTGAACCTTACTGATGATAGTCCTCACCTGGACAGGCTGGAGAGGTGGGCCTGTGTGAACCTCATGAGGTTCAACAAGGACAAGTGCAGCGTCCTGCACTTGGGTTGGGGTAATCCCCGGTATCAGTACAGGCTGGGGCATGAAGGGATTGAGAACAGCCCTGAGGAGAAGGACTTGGGGCTACTGACAGACGAAAAGCTGAACATGAGCCAGCAATGTGCGCTCGCAGCCCAGAAGGCCAGCTGTATCCTGGGTCACATCAAGAGAAGCGTGGCCAGCAGGTCGAGGGAGGTGATTCTGCCCCTCTGCTCTGCTCTGGTGAGCCCCCACCTGGAGTGCTGCGTCCAGCTCTGGGGTCCTCAGCACAGGAAGGACAGGGACCTGTTGGAGAGGGTCTGGAGGAGGGCCACAAAAATGGGCTGGAACACCTCTGCTATGAGGAAAGGCTGAGAGAGCTGGGGTTGTTCAGCCTGGAGAAGAGAAGGCTGCAGGAAGACCTTATTGCGGCCTTTCAATTCTTAAAGGGGACTTATAAGAAAGATGGGGACGGACTTTTTAGCAGGGCCAGTAGCGATAGGACAAGGGGTGATGGTTTTAAACTAAAAGAGGGCAGATTTAGACTAGATCTAAGGAAAAGGTTTTCACGATGAGGGTGGCCTTTAAAGGTCCCTTCCATCCCAAAGCAATCTATGATTCTGATAGACAACTGCTGGCTACAGATTGAGGAACAAAAGGAAGTTTTCGCTTTGGCAGATCAATAAAGTACTGTCAACAGTTCTTGGTTGTCAAAGCTGGGAAGCTGGAAACAAAGTGACTACCACTTGCCATTTTTTAAACCTCAGCTGTAAGACAAATCGTGGCTTACACATAGTGACTGAATAGCTTGTTCTACACCTGCTAGGTCTAGTGCTGTTTCAAAGAATGGTACCTGAAGTAATAAGAAATATTGACCACTGTGATAATGCATATGGTTAAGAACAAGAGTCTCGTGTATTTTTTGATTAATAAAGACAGTACTTACAATCTTCTAACGCTTCCACAATCAAACTCACTGTCTTGGGTTTAATATACTAGTCCTTTGCTCAGCATCCTCATTTTATTCTTGGATTGCTCAAACAAAGCTCTGTTTTCGTGCAAATACAGGATCAGATTTTTTACGACTTTCAAGTGAAGACTGCTAGAGCCACAATCTCACAGTGACTGCACATCTGCAAAACAGGAAACCCCACACAGTATAATTAAGTATTAAGTTCCCATTTCAGAATGGCAATTACATACAGATGAGAATAATGGATATTTTTCTCAGGTGAAATCAGCAAAATTAGCATTGGGATTTCTATTCTGTTCTTAAGATTCAGCAGATACGTGCTGAGAGGAAGCAGAATTCAACACTTAGCTTCGTAGGCTCATTATTCTGCTGGCGTTTCAACATCAAATACTACTAGTTTCCCTAATCTACATTAAGGCTTTCTCTACCTGCCAAATCGTCACCACCCTAGTGACCAGTTTCCTGCTTCTCCTCATGATCTGGAATAAAAACCTTTCACTCACTTGTAATACTTGTACATATTACTTAATAGCTAGGGAAATTAGCATTTCCCCAAATGACATCACACTAGAAAATAACAGAATTGGGAAGACCCTCAAAGTTGGTTTTTTTTTTTTTTTATGACAAAATAAACCCTTACACCATGCCCAATTTCTTGTATGAAGAAACAAAGGTAGAGGTCAGCTGGTAACTCAATTTATCAGCTCATTCCAAATCATCACCCCTTTTCTCCCCTCATTCCATCCCCTTGCTTTTTGAAAGAGTCATCACAATAAGAAATCCGGTCTAAATTATGCCTTTCCCGTAAGTATTGTGGAGAGAAACATTACAATCAGTCATAAAACATCTCAGAAAACTAAATTAAAAAGCTTGCTTGTTTTAACAGGCACTGTCCTTAACTGATGACTTCCCTTTTGAAGACTATTTACTAGTTTTGGGAAATGAGGCTATTAAAAAAGCAGTTTTGTATACTGGCACCAATTAAATGGCATCCGTTACAATTGTTTTACTAAAGCTTAGAGGAAAAAACCCATGAGGAAAGTCAAAGTGGGAAGCAGCCAATTTGCAAATTATTGACTTGTATGCTGTTCTTGGTTACTAGGTACACAGGCATCCAATTATGTTCTGAAATCAAAATCTCGTTAAGAAAAATCAGACCTGCAATCAACGTTATCGTGGCATTTGAAGTGGTGCAGCCAGAAGACTATTGCACGAGAGGGTAAAGAGAAGCACAAACAACAGATGCAAAAGCGCATAGAGGTGCTGCAGGGGAAAGTCCGGGCTGGGGGGGGAAGGAGGTGCCAACCAAGAGACCTGCAGCACCAGGTTCAAGAGATCCTGCACCCAGGTGATCACTGGGGTGGAGATACCTGGAACTCTTCTAATAAGGAATGGACTGAAAGGTTTGAGGACAAGAACAGGAAATGCCTCTCTGCCCAACCAATAAAAACAAAGAGACAGAAGGGTGACAAATGGTGGATAATTAATGTAATAAGGCAGTAACAGCAGGATTTTTTTTTTGTGATAGAAACTGGACTAAAGCCTCTCAAATTCCATAGTTTGTACTTTGAGTCACATGCACATTGAAAAGAAAAAGCCACTCTATACCACCAGATATGGTAGATAAGTGCAGTAGGAGCCACAGCAAAGGGAAGAACCAGGATTTATATACAAATACCTCTTGAAGACTGCAAGTCAACAATGTAAGCATAAGAAGAAAAGGTACTCCCTTGAAACCCACAACAGCATTAACGGAAGACTGGCAGGAAAAAAAAGGTGAAAACTGTAGCAAGTAACTTCACAACAAATGGAGGGCAACATTCTGCCACAACAGGAGGAAGCAGGTGCTGTAAGTTAATTCAGACACTGCCTAGGTATACTGGGTCTGGCTGGGAGACAGTTAACTATGAGATAATTATTGCTATAAAAAAAGGAAAACACATCATTATACTCATGGAGAATAAAAGAAGTACAAGGGAATCAGAATGAAACAAGTATTGTCAGAATTCGGGATTGCCATCAGTCTGCTACAGGGAAGGATCTTACAGGAACACAAAAGATCTTGATCGTTACTTGTGCGGAACGCAAATATTGAATTTTCAAAACCAAGGAGTAAATCGTAGACTTAGATCATTGGTGAAGAACTGTAACAGTCAACCCCCCCCCCGATTTCTGTAAATGTGGATAAGAAAGCTGAAAAGCCTAAAGAGCAATAGAAAATAAAGGAAACTGAAAACACGGTGGCCAAAAGACTAGGGAACAGGTTTGGTCCTGTGGTGTTTTAAGTTGATGGCAAAATCTTGATGTATCCCACAATATATCAGTGAGACAGGATTGGATGAAAACGAACTGGATGTAAGATGATGTGGGAGTGTTTAATTAGATGGCATGTCAAAATGAGAGGAAAAAGGCAAAAGGCTTAGAACTGCAGATTCTGCACAAAGGAATGATCTGAAAAATAAGATATATCTGGGGATTACTAACCATATTCCAAATGACAGCAGAGTTCAGTTACTCCAGATTTATGGTAACATACATAGAAGACACATTCAATTTTATTTATCAAAATACAGCTCACAGTTACCAGTTTTGAACTGCTTGTTGTGTTCATAAGTAGCTGATTTATTTCTTGTCATCTGACCATGTAATTTCATAATCTGTATACACTTTTTTCAGTATCTCTACAGTCACCGAATGATCTGCTTTTCCATAGCCCTGCAAGAAAGAACAAATTCTTATTAGACATGTACAGCAAGTAATTCCACAGAACCATTCAGTTCTTGTCGACACAAATTACCCAGTTATGATAATACTTCAAGTAGTTCACATACAAATCAAATACAGGTTCTAAAAGAGTTACTCTTGCAGTATCATGTTTTATTTTTCTATTGTCCTCTCCAATTCCCTCCCAACCCGAGCCGTAGAAAATAAATGAGATGGGTTCAAGCAATCTCAAGTAATAGAGGATGCATTTTTCACATCATGGTTTCTCCAGCAGAAGGCTTGGTTTAAAATGTTCCCAACCCCTCAGCCACCATATTTATTGAATGTTCTTTTAAACCACAGAGACTGCACTTTAATGTATAAGCATACAAACATCTGATTTGGCGCAGCTGAAGGAAAAGGGAATAAGCCACCACATGTGTGGACATTGGAGTACTATTCCAGCCACTAAAGAAATCAGTCTTCATGTTTTATTTATTTGCAATCTTGCCTTAGCTGGTAATGGCATAATTTTAAATATCTGTGCTCTTCAGCCACTGCAACTGCAAACTCAGGCAAGATCAGATGACCCATGTTATTTTTAACCCTCATTTAAATCACTGATCAGTGTTACTCTGTCACTGGAATTTAAGAGAGTTGTGGTAGAAGGTGCCTTTCCATTATTGTCTTATATGACTGGAGTTATCTTGATTTCTTATTTCAGAACTACAAGTAAGTTTTTCCCTGTCAAAAAGCCTTTACTGCACAACAGTGCAGTCTACTGATAAACACCTGTGATTTATAGGTTACTTTCTTTTTCCAGCAATATTTCATGTGAAACTTAACTTGGAAGACTGAAAAAAAAAAGCTCAATTGCATTATCAAATAAAACATGTACTCTTATTCATCACTGACTCTGCCCCAAGAGGAACAGCTTAAGTAAACCAGCACAGGTTAAAATTATTGACGTATTATAAAACACAAACTTTTCAAAAATACCAGATAATACAGGTATGTCAGAAATACTGCAGGTTTATACTGTCAGCTGTAAAGCAACAGACCTACAGATCACTCTTGCCTTGGTAATCACTTTGAAGACCTCATCTGGCTTTGCAAATAATAGCACAGCATCTACTTCAAAAGCAGTAATGACTATTTCTCTGGTTTTCATGAAGCACCAGGAGAGTTCTGGTTTAGAGTCTGACAACAAATCTCCAAGTAAAGAGAAGCATTAAATGAATGTCATTAATATACTGACTTCTAACCTGCTACTGAGATCTTCTGAACCTCCAGGTCTCTGCCTGACAGACACCCTCATGGTAATAAAACTCTGGTTTTACATGGTGCTCATCTGTAAGCATCAAGGTACCAAAAGCAGAGAAACAAGGTACTTTCCATAGACATTGCATTACAAGAGCAAGAGTTGACTGCTGCCTCTAATGCTAAATTGGTAGCTGAATTAATAATACAGGTGTCAAGTCTCATCTAAAAATGCAGTTATGGTGAGGACCTACAATCACAAGAGTTTAGTAGAATATGCATTATACACTGCCTTCCCACCCCATACAAATCCTAAAAAGTTCTTTTTTTTTCTTATGATTCCAGGTGGCAAGAGTCATCTTGGAACAAAAGCAGCACTAACATTTAAAAACGCTTAACACATTCAAGGCCCAACCTTCACTGCTTATCTAAGGTAAGCGGATTTGAAGTAACCTTCACTTTCTATAAAAAATTAAATTAATAGAACTATTTTCTTCTTGTCTACGTTGGAAACCCAAAATCTTTACTCACAGTATTACTACAGAAGCACCTATGCTTCATCCCAGAGCAACACCACAAACAGGCTATAGCATGTTTCCTAAATTCAAGAAATCATTACCACTTACTGAGTCTTTCATAAAGAAACTGAAGTTACACAGAACAGTAACAGGTAACAAAAATGCTCTAGTCCCAATATTCTTGGAACTTACTTTTATTCCCACAAAATGCATTTATGTGAAACTACATCTTCCCCTACTAAAAATTCACCACACCTAAACTGGGTCTACTCTTCTCACCCAACACATACATAGAACACCATTCACAATTTAGCTGGTCACTACCAACCAACATTTTTATTGGCAAATAAAGATCACACAATAGCTGGATTAAGACCCTGTGGCCTCAAATGGGCTAGTCCTGCTCTAGCAGTAAGACTAAAAGATTCTGAGTCAAGAGATGCCAGCTTCCATTTTTAGTCTTGATTATAACTTAATGTTGGTATTACTCAGAATTAAGTTATTTTTGCTTTCATCTCCTGCCCTTAAAACTAGTGTTTTTCCAACCTATCTCACAAGTGAGCCAGACAAGTTTTCCCATTAATGTTTACATAATTCGAATTGCCAAAAGCTACCATACTATAAAACAAAAATCCCAGAACATCAGAGACGAAAGGATTTGAAGGAATACAAGAGAGACACTTACTGTAGAGAGCCCAAACACCCTAATTTTCTTGTCTTTGCTATTATGATCAATTTTCCCTCCTCCAAGGCACTTGCACTCATAGCCCAGCTTTTCCATTTCAGGATTTACTTTTTCAAATATGTGATCTGCACAAGAAGAACGGTTAGAGCCATCAGCATACGCGCTAGGCACCAAATGCTCTAGAGTTCTTTTCGGCTATTTTCCAATCATTTCCCTCCCTTCACCTGCAAGAGAGGGAGCTTTCTCTTGACACATAGAAAAACTGTAATTAAGGTTCTCTGTTTCAGTTCTTTACTTAGTTAACGCATCTCGCTCTCCTAAACGAGGTTTATCAGGTTTGGAAATGACATCTGACAGAGACATTGACCCGCTTTACATATTCGCATGAGGTACCTATAAAGGGGGGGGAAAGGGGGCTTCAGAGCTACTCCCGCTGACAGCAGCCCCCACAGGCCAGGGG